CCTGGGAAAGATTGAAGGTAGGAGAAGGGGATGACAGAAGATAAGATGGTTGGATGGCATCACCAACTCGATGGACATGAGTTTGAGCAAGCTCTGGGAGTTTGTAATGGACAGGGAGGCCTGACGTGCTGCAGTCCATGGGGTCGCCAAGAGTTGGACACGACTGAACTGAATGCAGGAAAGCAGACTGAAGAGTAGTTTGCCCAGATCAGTGGACTGGCGGTCCAGTTTGCCAAGTACCAACTGACCTCTTTCCATTTTATCTATAAAAGGGAAACATCCACTCCAGAGTGAAACAGAAGGATGGAGCCCACATACCTGGACTCTCAACTTTCTCTGAAGCCAGGAGAGAGAATTGGAAAACTGGCTCCACTAAGCCCAGCTCTTTCACTCTCCTTTTCTGACTTCTAACAAACAAACTGCTTAAAGGATAGAGAGAGTATTTTCTTCTTTTTATTGTGCCCTTTCCAGTTTGAACGGAGACTGGCGTATAGAGCTGGTGGACTGACTGAACATCACTTATTCATTGAGAAGTGGTTTCTTTAAATTTCATTGTCTTATCTAGGAGCTCAGTGTAGAACCTTACTATTGATGTTTTCACGGCGTTCACTCTGTGAATCCAGCTCAAGAATGGCTCTAATCAGAAGGGTCTCTTGAAGGATAATAGAGTTTTTGCCTCCTGTTAGTAAGTGTCCTTTAAAGACATTGAGTTTCTCTTTAAAGACTCAGAAGAGCCAAAAGGACTTTAAAGGGCTGAAAAAAAGTCCTAAAGCTCAAATAATGGAATAGGAGCAGGAAATAGGAAAATATTTTGTACACTTTCCCCCTCTTTTCTAACCTATAAGCTCATGAATTGGTATCTTCTTTGGACAAACTACATGTATGCACTACAACTGTGGACAATAGAAACTAAGTTTTATTTACAAAAGGTATGTTTTAGTTATTAGGATTAGAAGGTATCAATAGATTATTGTCCCAACTATATCATAATTTGATGAAGAATTACAGCTCAACAAGTATAGAACCAACATCAGTTGATCCTTTCTAGATCTTAATGGGTTTTTATCAAACCTCATCCACAGAGTTTGCTCATTCAACTATTTGATGAGCATTTTTGTAGGCAAGTTATGTTTGAAAGTGTAGTAGAATATCACACTGCTCAAAGCTGCTTCCATAGACCTGTGATAAGGATAAAGGAAAATATACCAAAGTGTAAGTGCTTTCGGCTTGTTCTCTATCACTAAAGAGGAAAAAATCCTGAGGTTTCCTTGCTGTAGAAATCATAGACAGCAGGCGAAGGGCCGGCAGATGCCGAAGAGTGAAGGCTTTGGTTGGGTGAGAAACCTCTGAGAAGGAATAGAGAAAGGAAAAGATAATCTGTTGATCTGAGGGGAGAAATTGATACTATAAAAATGAGAAGAGTCTGAAGACAAGAGAACAAATTTTCCCCAGGGGATAGGGCTGGGTGCCTCAGATGTGAGCAGGAGTGGTAGGGAAAGGGGCTTCCTTAGGTGGCATTAGAATTAGTGGTAAAGAACCCACCTGCCAAAGCAGGAGGCACGGGTTCAATCCCTGGGCTGGGAAGATCCTCTGGAGGAGGGCATGGCAACCTACTCCAGTATTCTTGCCTGGAGAATCCCATGGACAGAAGAGCCTGGTGCACTACAATCCATAGGATCTCAAAGAGTTGGACATGACAAAAGTGACTTAGCACACACATATGTGGTAGGGGAAAGGACCAGCAAGGGGATTAAGAGGAGGATAGAGGCTGGTGGTCATGGTCTTAGGGGGAGAGGGCAGTGGAGAGGGGCTAAGGCAAGGAGTGAGAGGCAGGGAAGGGAAGGGGGGGTCTTCAATAAAATTAAAAATGAAAGTTTTGCTAGATACTTCTCTAAAGAAGATACACAAATGGCCAACACACACATGAAAAGATGTTCAGCATCTTTAGTCATTAGGGACATGCAAATTAAGAACACAATAACATGTCATCTCACAGACACTGGGATGGCTACAGTCGAACAGAACATAAACGTTGCCAAGAAAGCAGAGAAATTGGAGCTCTCATTTACTGCTGGTGGGAATGTAAAACAGTTCGGCTGTGGTGAAGAGCAGTTTGGCATTTGCTCAAAAAGTTAAATATAGGATTACCGAATGACCCAACAGTTCCACTCCTGGGTATGTACCCAAAAGAATTAAAAACAGGTTTTTCTATTAATAACAAAAACTTGCACGTGAAAGTTTACAGCAGTACTATTCACAATAGCCCAAGGTTAGAAAAAACCCAAATGTCCATCGACTGATGGATAGGTCAAAAAAATGTGGCTATTTCCGTACAAGGGAACATTATTCAGACATGGAAAGGAATGAGGCCCTGCTACATTTGACAATATGGATAGGTTTCAAAAATAATATGCTAAGTGAAAGAAGCCAGACACAAAAGATCACATATCATATGATTCCATTTATATGAAATGTCCAGATCAGGTAAATCCATAAAGACCGAATACAGATTTGTGGCTTTAAGAGCCTGGGAGAAGGGAGGAGTCAGTTCAGTTCAGTCGCTCAGTTGTTGCTCATTTGTGTCTGACTCTTTTCGACCCCATGGACTGCAGCACGCCAGGCTTCCCTGTCCATCACAAACTTCTGGAGCTTGCTCAAACCCATGTCCATCGAGCTGGTGATGCCATCCAACCATCTCATCCTCTGTCATCCCCTTCTCCTCTTGCCTTCAGTCTTTCCCAGCATCAAGGTCTTTTCCAGTGAGTCAGTTCTTCATCAGGGGGCCAAAGTGTTGGAGCTTCAGCTTCAGCATCAGTCCTTCCAAAGAATATTCAGGACTGATTTCCGTTAGGATTGACTGGTTTGATCTCCTTGCGGTCCAGGGGACTCTCAAGAGTCTTCAATACCACAGTTCAAAAGCATCAATTCTTCGGCGCTCAGCCTTCTTTATGGTCCAACTCTCACATCCATACATGACTAATGGAAAAACCATAGCTTAGACTAGACGGACCTTTGTTGGCAAAGTAATGTCTCTGCTTTTTAATATGCTGTCTAGGTTGGTCACAGTTTTTCTTCCAAGGAGTAAGTGTCTTTTAATTTCATGGCTGCAGTCACCGTCTGCAGTGATTTTGTAGCCCCCCAAAATAAAGTCTGTCACTGTTTCCATTATTTCCCCATCTATTTGCCAGGAAGTGATGGGACCATATGCCACAATCTTAGTTTTTAGAATGTTGAATTTTAAGCCAGCTTTTTCACTCTCCTCTTTCATAGTCATCAAAAGGCTCTTTAGTTCTTCTTCACTTTCTGCCATAAGGGTGGTGTCATCTGCATATCTGAGGTTATTGATACCTCTCCCTGCAACCCTGATTCCAGCTTGTGCTTCATCCAGTTCGGCATTTCCCATGATGTCCTGCTTAAAGGGTATGAGGTGCCTTTTGAGGGTGATGAAGATGCTATGAAACTGTGTAAGCATGAGGTTCCATGACATTGTGAATATACTAAATGCCACTGAATTGTACACTTTAAATGGTCAAAATCTTGCATTGTATGCGATGTGAATTTTACCTCAATTTTGAAAAATTGTTTTACTAGGAATTTTCAAAGGTGCTTCATTTCCTCCTTCTCATTCTTTTGATATTTTCTTAACAGACTAAGTTTGAATTATTCTCAATTTATATTTTGTTTGTTTGTGGGTAAGATAAACCAGAGAGCTGTAATATTTAGGTCAGAGATGCTTCATTCTGATTTTTTAAAGTAGTTTTAAACATTTTTCTCCATAAAATATCATGGTCTCACTTTATATTCTAGGATGTTTAGAGCTCACTCATTAATTTTTGTGTCAGTAGAGTAAAAGGATCACTAACAGGGAGCTGTGATCCCTTCTTATTTAAGTAGCCTGATTTACCTCTGATGGTATGTGGCATGATTCTTAGTCAAGCATGAGTTCTGAATACATCCTTCAGTTTTCATAAGAGCATATCCTTAGACCTGATTATGTAGAAAGATGTTTGCGGTTATGAACTTTTCACTTTTTGGCCAGACATTTGCCACCATGGCAAGTTTGAAAGGAAAATGAGCAGCGTGATATCCACTGACTCATATAGAGCCAGTCCTGCTCCTCATGGATGTGTGGATTATTACTGGGACTTTGGCTCCAGGTCCCCTTGTGAACTCCCCACCCTACGGAGCTGAGCGGGACCACTGGTGACCACATGATGACCCTTTTACCTCTGGCCCAAGGCCTGTTTGATTCCATGGGCATGGTGAATCTTGTAAGTCACAGCTTTTCCTCTCTTTTTTTCCCACTGATTTCAGAAAAGCTTAGAGTTGTGGCTGTAGAATTTAGGAAATAGACTTTCTTGGCATAAATTCTGTGCACTGCCCGAGATTTCGATTTAGTTTTCCTTTCTAATTCGTATATGCCAGTATATCTTTTTTTTCCATATGATTTTCTGTGAACTGTATGCATTTCTCAGTTCAGTTCAGTTGCTCAGTTGTGTCCGACTCTTTGCGACCCCATGAAATCGCAGCACCAGTGTCCATCACCAACTCCCGGAATCTACTCAAACTCATGTCCATTGAGTTGTGATGCCATTCAGCCATCTCATCCTCTGTTGTCCCCTTCTCCTCCTGCCCCCAATCCCTCCCAGCATCAGGATCTTTTCCAATGAGTCAACTCTTTGCATGAGGTGGCCAAAGTATTGGAGTTTCAGCTTCAGCATCAGTCCTTCCAGTGAAAACCCAGGACTGATCTCCTTTAGGTAAGTGGTTGTAATTAACATTTTTAAAAAGACTAAGTCAGGGACCAAAAACAGAGCCCAGAGATAAAATTCCATTTCTCTGAGACTTCAAACAATGGTATGGGATTGTGGCCCCTCCCATCGGCTCCCGCACACATGCACTCACGTGCCCACACACGTACATGCGCACACAGTAGGTGGCGGGCACGCTGCCCTGCCCACCGTACTCAGAGAGAGGCCCTTGAATGGCAAGGTCCCAGGCTACCGTTTTGATTGAGAGCTCCTCGTCAGAACCCGAGTGAGAGCGGCCTTTATCTCCTTGTTCCTCAGACTGTAGATGAGCGGATTCAACATAGGGGTCACCACCGCGTAGAAGAGCACCACCACCTTGTCCTGCTTGGCGGAGGCGGTGGAGTGGGGCTGCATGTAGGTAACCAGGGCCATGCCGTAAGACATAGAGACCACGGTGAGGTGCGAGGCGCAGGTCCCGAAGGCTTTGCGGCGCCCCCCGCTGGAGCGGATCTGCAGGACGGCGGCCACGATGCGGGCGTAGGACAGCGCAACCAGGCAGCAGGGCGCCAAAAGCACCACCACGCTGGACGCCACTATGACCGCCTGGTTGAGGGTGACGTCCACGCAGGCCAACCTGACGAGCGCCAGCGTCTCACAGGCCACGTGGTTCAGCACGTGGCGCCCACAGGTGGGCAGACGCACGGTGACCGCAGTCTCCACTGCCGCATTCGCCAGGCCCACGAGCCAGGAGACGGCGGCCAGCCCTGCGCAGAGCTGCAGCCCCATGACGGCCGCGTAGCGCAGGGGATCGCAGACGGCCACGTAGCGATCATAGGCCATGGCGGCCAGAAGCAAGAACTCGGTGCCCCCCAGGGCCAGTGCGAAGAAGTGCTGGGTACCATATCGGGCGGAGGAGATGGTCTTCTTCTCCAGGAGGAAGTGCGCCAGCATCTGCGGAACCCCGCTGGAGGTGTAGCAGATGTCCACTACAGAGAGGTCGCCGAGGAAGAAGTACATGGGCAGCTGGAGGCGGGGATCCAGCCGGATCAGGACGAGGATGAGCCCGTTGCCCAGCAAGGTCAGCAGATAGGCGGCCCCAAACAGGACAAACAGGCCAGCCTGGGTCTGCCTGTCCCCGGAGAGGCCCAGTAGGACAAACTCACTGACCCAGGTGAGGTTTTTCCCTCCCCATGGAGCAGGCGGGTCAGGCTGCCAAGGCAGGAGCAGAGGCAGGGAAGGGCACGTAAAGGTCTCTCTAGGAGTCTGGGATTAAGCCATGGGCCAGGACTGGAGCTGGGAGTGGGGCACCTCCCCTCAGGTTCCTAACCTAGGTCCTGAGGGGACAGTGCCATGAGGGCGGAGGGAAAAGGAGATTTGAGTTCTCACGGTGGACTCAAGGATGAAGTCCCCTGCTGGTCGTCCTTTTACTAGGATCCAACACAGTTACTATTACATAGGATGTAAGCCATCAGTGTAAAAGGAAAGATAGAGGAAAAGGTGGTGGAGAGAAGGGAGGAAGGATGATAGGAAAGAAAAAGGAAGTAAAAGAGAAAGGAAAACTAGGGAAGGGAGGTAGGAAAGCAAAAAAGGAGGGAAGGAAAGTGGAAAGCAAGGAAGAAAGGAAAGAATGTCCAGTGTGGGGTGGCCAAAGACACTTGAGACCAACAGGAGTGCCTAGGGGTCGATGCCTAAAAGTCTGAACTCATTTGCTCCTTGTGTCTTCTCTGGGGTTCAGGTCTGGGTCTCTGCCTAGTCCTCTCACGTAGCTCTTGTGCCCAACAGTCTGGGTCAAGTTTAAATCAGTATCTCTAAGCCCCTGGTGTGCCACGGTCTGTGTGAGACATCAGACACCTGTCTGAAACAGAAATACAAAAGCACAAGTTCTGTTCCTTTGGTTCTTATAATTTAATCATGGACACAGACTAAATTAATAATTACAAAATTAATTAAGTATAATTGTGCTAAGTGCCAGGAAGGAGAAGAACAAGGTTACTAGTTAGTTAATTAAATTTGCAGCTGTAATTAAATTATGACTGCAGTTGTGCCTTATTTCTCAATAATATGCAATTTATATAGTAAGTTGTGGGCATTATTTAGGTGTCTAAATAAATGGTAAACAATGTAATGAGAGCATTCATAAACCATTGATACTTACATGTTTGTACTGAGATGAAGTGACTGACATCCACTGATTTTTTTAGGGGGAGTGAATTCTTTCTCAGCTAAGATTGCACTGGGTTATTTTCCTTCCAGCACATTGACCAGTCTTCTATAAACATAAATAAATGTCAGCAGTTTTTTCTTAATAGAAACAATAAGGTGTATTTCTTGCTCTTAAAATAATTAGTAAATTAATTAATTCAATTCAAAATATTTATTGAGTATATGAGGCACTATGCTTTCAACCAGCCAACCAACCTCTGGGAAATACTGCCTTTCTATGTTAGGAGTTTGTTTTAGAAAATCAGCAGTGCTACAGAATCGAATAAGAAATCTTAAAAATTGGATCTTGGTAAAGTCTATAAGAATCAAATGAGACAGTGTAACAAAGGACAAAGGCAATATATCAGTGTTAAGAAAACCAGAGTGGAGCCACATAATCAAATATAACAGAACTGAGAAGGGTAATCTAACTCAGAGTCTTTCTGGCTGGGAAGAGGGCCTGGACTCTGGTGGAGGAGAGAGCCGAGAGCCAATAGCCTGGATGAAGCAGGCATCTCTTGCCTTCTGTTCAGCCCTGGGCCTGCCCGGCCAGCAGGTGTCACTGTAGAAACTGGCTTTAGGGTCTTAGGATTGGAACCCCGTTCTGCGTCCGGAGTGCAGTAGTTGGCAGCTGGGATTCTGAGCACTGCCCCAACGAGTCCGTGGCTTTCCGCAGAGCCTAGGCCTTGGGTCCGTAGAGAAAGCAATTCAGCTCTGATCTCCTACACTCTGGAGGCTGCTGCACCATCCAGAATCCTTACTTTCAGAGTTGCTGTCATGGATTCACATTCCCTCCAGAAGATCCCTGTTACTGTATGAGAAAGTTAGAAATATCAGAAAGGAAAGAAACCACAGAGATCAGGTATTGCATCCGTTTCTTTCTACAGATGAGGAAACCAAGGAACAGGGGTAAGGTGATTGACCCTGGTATCAGATACCTGGGAACAAACCTGGAACCAGACTTAACGCTGTGCTGCACTTAGTTCTCACTGAGCCTGTCAGTGAGGGCTGGGAAGGGCTTCTAGAAGGATGTGGTCTAGGAAGGGAGGCACTTGAGGAATCTTACAGTGGAAACCTAGGACAGCTATCTTGCTGTGCAGAGAAATGCTCTGTGATGAGTGGGAAAACCTTTGAATGAGAAATCAAGGGACCCAAGTTCTAGTTAGCCTGCTGTGTGCCCTGGGCAAGTTAGTTGACCTCTCTGAACCTCAGTTTCTACATTTTAAATGTGGTAATAATAATAATGCCTGTCTCACTGTATTTTGAGTAAGAACAGGTAAAGACATGAATATGAATGTGCTTTGTAAAGTACTAAGTAAACACAAATGGCTATTTTATTATATTGAACAGGTGAGATCAATTTGCCTGATGATAAGGGGACAAGAAACAATATGAATTTGTGCTATAATGGCCAGAGAGTTAACAGAATGTGGGCCATGAAGCCCCTTTGCAATAAATCTTCTTACCTATCACCTAATTAAAAAGATCCTATTTAAATAAAATGAAGAATTAAGGTAGAGTCTGTCTATACCCAGTGCATATACCATGCTCCACATACGGTATAAGCTCAATATCTTTTTTTTTCCTAACAAAAATTTGATGTTTTTGGATGATGATAAAACATTGATTTTATTAATAGATGGCTTTATCCTCAGCGTTTGAGGATAATTAGAGAATTTCTTTCCACTTTGCTTGACTTGGTAAACATTGACTGAGCACTGAGTGGAGCCTGGACCAGTGGCAGGTGCTGGGGTGAGAAGGATCAGCATAGCCTGGTCTCCATCTCCAGGAGCTCAGCCTGGCAGGTGGATAGAGAGGATAAGTCACCATGATCTTATCAGAGAACATTTGAGTATCAAGTCTGGTAATTGGAGACATCAGCTCAGTTCAGCTCAGTCGCTCAGTCGTGTCCGACTCTTTGCGACATCATGGATGGACTGCAGCACGCCAGGCCTCCCTATCCATTACCAACTCCTGGAGTTTACTCACACTCAAGTCCATTGAGTCGTGATGCCATCCAACCATCTCATCTTCTGTTGTCCCCTTCTCCTCCTTCCTTCAATCTTTCCCAGCATCAGGGTCTTTTCCAGTGAGTCAGTTCTTCACATCAGGTGGCCAAAGTATAGGAGCTTCAGCTTCAACATCAGTCCTTCCAATGAATATTAAGGATTGATTTCCTTTAAGATTGACTGATTTGATCTCCTTGGAGTCCAAATAGAGTTGGACTATGTAAATAGCCAGGAAGGTATATAGAAATAATAATGTAGAAGCAAAGAAACAAACAGTGCATTTGCTTCTTGAAAAAGTAGATATGGTTTATGGCATATGTAGATTGGTAGTAAGGAGACCTGGTTTTCAATTTGTATCAATAAACCATCTAGGTATTGTTAGTATAAGTCACTATGTTTTCGAGCTGTAATTTCTTCATCTGTAGAATGAGTGAGTTAGGTAAACACTAAGATTTCTACCAGCTCTAAAGCTCTGCAATAAATGAATTTATGTAAGCTGCATGTAAGACCAAAATCTTTGCTTTTGATCACCCTAAGTATATGTAGCTAGTGAGACTGTAGGAAATAAGACATGGGTTACTGAGTTTAGAGTTCAAAGCATTAATCTAACACATAACTTTTGGGGGAGGTGCCAATGAATGAGACCAGGTTGATTTGAAAACCAGAGACTATGGAAATAGGGAAGGGACAAAACAAATAGAAATGAGAGACCCACTTGGGTCAAGGCTGAAAGACTTGTAGGCTTTAACACACAAGTTTCTTTTCAAAGTTGGTCCCAGGTATTTCCTATAGCTAGGTAATTCCTAACACCGGATCAGGGTCCAAACCTGAGAAAACAAGGAATCCATGTCTATCTTTGTTTCTTATACCAATCCTGCTTTCTCTGTTCCTCTTCAATATAATCCAAATGCCATAAAGCTAAGAAAAGAGTCTTATGTCTTTTGATCTCCACTCTTTAGCTCGTTGAATGTATGTCTGTATATACTGAGCACTTCAGTTTATAGGGAGGACTGGATGACTGACCAAGACCAAGGACTTTGTTGAGTGGGAGGAATCAAAGTGCCTCCAACTGCAAGCAGTGAGCAAAACCCAGTGGAGGATCCCAGGACAGTCCTGGCTGCTCCCAGGGCTTTGGGTTCTATTTTCTCACCTTCCTCCTCTTCTTCTCTGTGCAGGACTCACCAAGGCTGAGTGCTTACATTATGCATGGAACTCAGTTTAGATGAGGGGGAACCGTCTTTCAGGAAGTCCTTGAGGCAGTTGTCCATCCTTTTCTTGGAAATGAAGCTTTACTTTCTCAGTCTTTGCGATAACTTTTCACAACCTAAGAATCCCCAGAGGGCAATTACTTGCTCTCACTGTGTTTTTTCACTCATTCTTCCCCTCCTCCCACTCCAGCTTCATCTCAGCCACCACATCTCCCTACTCTTCTAAGTTCCCAATGGGATAAACATTCTGAAAATGTTTTATCCCAACTTTTAATTGTACTTCTAGTTTCCAGACTAATGAGCTCTTCCCTGACTTTTTTTGGGGGGAGTCTTTCACTGGTTTTCAAGGCCATGACATTGCTGAGGACTTTTGGCAGGAGACTGTTTCCACCTCTGACTTGGTGGAGAGGGATTGAAGTTA